TTGGTTCATTAAAATTCCTTGATGGGTTATAATTGTAGATCAATGCTAGAGCACTTGTCTGGCATGCATGAGGCTCCGGGTTCAGTCTTCAGTAACTCCCCCCACCACCCACACACAAACAGATTCCTTGGGTCTTTACATTTGATGTTAGTCAAAAGGCTGAGAAGCGATCCTTGGGTCTTTACTATGTCTGCATAATACTATACAGCATGTCATGATGAGTTGAAAGAAAAAAATTATTGCCTTTGATATTAGCAGTTGAATATTTCTAGACTGATAAGTATAGCATATGATTTTTAAACTTTTAACTAAAGGCAAAAAGAACTAATTCATTAATCAAGGTACAGTAGATCCCCCTAGCAAGGAGTCAAAAGTTCTACAGCCCTGCCTCTGATTCGGCACTTTAACTTGTAACCCTAGGCAAATCATTCAACCCTTCTGAAAACAGTTTCTTGTTTATAAGATAAGAATTTGTCCCTTTCCTATCTTATAAGTATGTATGTCATAAGGATAAAATGAGGCAGTGGCTTTGAAAGCACTCAGAAATTCTTTCTCATAATACATATTATTTAACATTCATGGACTCGTGTATATGGCTCTCTGTTACCATGTTTTTAGTGTAAGTAAGGTATGCCATTTTCAGTGTATCTGCTGTGTTAGATGCTCTGCTAAGCACTGGAAATAGAGCTTTTCTCATGAAGCACCCTTTACCAGCTAACAAAAGCCAGAAAATTAGAATAGGGTTGTGTGTGACATTCTAGACCTCTCACTTATTGCCAGGCCTAGCACATAATTGAAGTCTAGAGATCTACAGAAGCTACTGAAGGAGCAGTAGGTCTGACTGTATTGAAACAAATGACTATGCCACTGTAAATGTCATTTTATCTTCATTATCCTGTAGCATTTGCAATGAAATTACAAATGTATCATTTTCCTGGGAAATTCTCTTTGGAGATGTAGAGTGAAGAGCATGAGTGCAATTTTAAGGAGAATAATCTCTGGTCATTTGGGAAAATGTTTGTAATGCAAGAGATGCTTGCTTTCAAGAAAGAGTAGGCTTATATTCCTTTTTTCAGCCAATTTTAAAACTTGAGATTTATAAAATATAGCAGTTTGGTGATGGTGGTGGTGATGTTCATAGTAATGGACCATTTCAGAATGATGTGACTTTAAAAAAAAATTGTACCTACTAATACAAAAGTTAGTGCTTCTGTGCTGCCAATGTAAGAAATTATACCTGCACACATTTCAGTCACTGAAGTTTTAGGAGACGCCTATTTCTGTAGGGAGATTCTATGCTTCTCAGGCTTAGTGGTTATATTGGTTGAAGTTTTCCAGRGAAACAKAACTGGTAGATTTTTTATTTGAGAGAGGTTTTAAGGAACTGGTTCATGTGATTGTGGAGGCTGGCAAGTCTGAAATCTGTGGGGCGGTCTGGTAGGCTAGAGACTCAAACAAGGGTCTTACAGAGTTGAGTCTGAAATCTATAGGGCAGGCCAGGAAGTTGGAAATTCAGGCAGAATTTCTATGTTGAAGTGTTGTTTCTTTGGGAAACTTCAGTCTGTGCTCTTAAGGCCTCCTCAAATGATTGGACTAGGTCCACCCACATTGTAGAAGGCAATTTTCTTTACTCAGAGTTTACTGACTTAAATGTTAATCACATCTTTAAAAATACTGTATAGCCACATCTAGACTAGTAATTGATCAAACACCTGGGCCACAACCTAGTCAAGTTGACATGTACAGTTAACCATCATGATAGACTTTGGCCTTCAGAGTTCATCAGTGACTAGTATTAGCCAGTGCCGATCCAGACCTTATGGATAATCACATTATTTTCTGTGGAGATCATCAGTAACCAAACAGCTCAAAATGGGAGTCCTGAGCTTCATTCGTAAAACATTGTGTGTTCCATTCCAAAATATGAAATTCTACAGGACTTCCATGAATTCTTCCCAGATGAGGGCTGACACGACTGTCCAGTTCTTCTCCACTTCAGGTTAGGGTTGATGCTTACCTTTGGGCATCTGCTGGGCAGAGGGGTAACATTTCATCCCTGGTTCCCCATGCAGCTGTGATAGTGGTGGTACAGGATGGTGGTGCCACGTTAGGCTGAGCCAGCAATGGGGACCTTCAGCCTCTCTAGAATTTAAACTCAGCCTCAAGTGCTAGGAAATATACACACACACACACACACACACACACACACACACTTATATATACTTATAAATGTAAGATATATACACATATATATACATAATTACATATGTACATATTTCTCTTACCTTACTTTCTTGGCTGAAACCCTCTTTGTAAAATTTCCAAGCATCAGTCCTTCATGTACAGTTGCAGAGGATTTATGATATTTCTTTAGAAGTAGTAAATGGATCAACTTTTTAAAAAATCCTAGCTGGGTGCTGTGTCACATGCCTATACTCCCAGCTACTCAGAAGAATGAGGCAGGAGGATCGAAAGTTTGAGGTCAGCCTGAACAACTTAGTGAGACCCTGTCACTAAAAATACATACATAAATAAATAAATAAGCAAGCAAGCAAATAAATAAATAAATAAATAAATAAAAAAGGGCTGGGGATGTAGCTCAGTGGAAGGAAAGAAATGGAGGGAAGGAGGAAAGGATGGAAGGGAGGAAGGAAGGGAGGAAGGAAGAGGAAGGAAGGGAGGGAGGGGGAGGAAGAAGGGAGGGAGGGAGGAGGAGGGAAGGGAGGAAGGGAGGGAGAAGGAAGGGAGGGAGGGAGGAAAGGAAGGGAAAGGGAAGCCCTAGAAGAAAGTGTTAGCAGTCAGAATGACCTCAGTGATATCAACCAGCCAGCCAGCCATGTATCCTCCTACCCAGGGTTATTTGGTGCTTACATTATGGCCAGTACAAGCTCAAAGGGATCAGAAGAAATGTTTAGTTATTGTCCTCCCATCATGGAAGATTAAAATTTAGTCAGGAGGCATGAAAATGATGCTAGTTGTTAAACTGATTTTCTAAGGAAAAAACACTTATCTGGCCAATTACCTGATTATTTTATATTAAGAATTAGTGGAGCTGGGCACGGTGGTGCATGCCTGTAATCCCAGAGGCTCAGGAGGCTGAGGTAGGGGGATCCCAAGTTCAAAGCCAGTCTCAGCAATTTAATGAGCCCCTAAGCAATTTAGTGAGACCCTGTCTTAAAATAAGGCTGGGGATGTGGCTCTGTGGTTAAGTGCCCTGGGTTCAATCCCCAGTACCCGCCGCCCCCCCMAAAAAAAAATCAGTGGAGTTTTCTTACTAACTGTAAGTTTTAGGCCACAGGCATTTGCACATTAGCTCTTACAATCCATTCTTTTGAGTTACTAAACCCCTAACTTAATCCAAGAAGAGAAGATAAGGTCATTAGAAGGCAAAGTAAAACAATCAGAACTTTTCCTTCTCAAAAGAAAAAGAATAATGAAATGATATTTACTAAAATCATGAAGGAAATAGGTTATATAAAATCAAAATAACATAATAATTGTATTATTAAGTTTACAACTATTATACACACCTTCTAAAACAGACTTTCATTCCAGCCAAATAAAATTTAACAAATTCCCATATTTATATTTGTCATGTCTTAATTGATTAAAAATACTGTTTAGAAAATTGTGATTGAAAACAAATCTAACTTAAATAATTTTCTTTTTAAAACAAAGTGTGTATATGTTTTACATATTTATTTTTACTTAGGAAAAAAACTTTCTTAGAAAAATACAACTTGGGTGTAGTACCATGTGGTGTAAACAACTGAACTCTTTTACTTTTTACTTTCCTATGAATGAGCCAGTATATATTTATTACTGGAGTTCCAGCTATAAAATTCAGGTAAGGGGTTTAAATATACCCTAGAGTATTATTTAAAAATAAATTTGTTTCTTTCAAATAGAATACCAACCTTGGTCTATGACATTTGGGAGAGAAATTAAAATATTAAACTTTTATTGCCTAGTAAACTGAAAATAAAGGTTAAATAAATACAAAGCAGAAAAATATATATATATAAAATCACAACCTCTAAAAGGACAAACAGTTCACTGTTCTCCACTATGAGAGTTTTATCAGCACCCATAAGTAATTCCAGCTCTGGGGCAGTGCTAATACTCAAAAATGTAAACAAGTATGCACTTTGTTTATATAAAGAAATATGTGGCATGGTTTGTATTTCTTTATAGATATCAAACAGCTACAGGGATTGTTTCAAAGCACCAGTAGGGGCCAGCAAAGAGCTCTTAGAGTTTTTCAGAACAGAATTGGCATTGAGATATGTTTATTTGATGTGTTAAATCCTTTTTAGACTTCTTTACTTACCACAACACTCCCTTAAGTGAATGAATTGCAGAGACAGTGGAATAAAATATCCAATGTGTTCAAACTATATTGGGGTATAGTTTTTCTGTCTAATCTGCATATATTTTTAATGGAATGTTTGCTTAGGCTATTTCTTGGCAGAGTTTTAATAGTCAAAATATAAATGGCATCATTTAAAGACTGTACTACTTGGCTGGGAAAGGCCTTAAAATTACAGGAGAAAATGCTTGGTGACAGCTTCTCTTAAACTTTTTTTTTTTCTTCCTCAGACCTATGTTCAATTTGTGCAGTAGTATTACCAGACTCATTTTGTAGTTCTATGTGTAAGCTTTCACTTTTCATAACTAGTATTTTGCAAGATAAAATATTTATCTGTTTGGTTTAATGCTAAAGTTTTAATTCCCCCCAATGTTTTGTTATTTCCAGAGTTATACAACGGTTTGAATTTATTTATTTTTTWAAAAAAAAGTTTAACAGCCCCTATTCCTTTCTACATGAACTAACTTGACTAGACTCCTAGTGTGGGTACTATTTAGAAATTCAATCTTTGATTTGATACTCAATTACATGGGGTTTCATTCCTACCAACTTCCTGTAATTCTATATCTTTGGGTAAAAATATTAGTGGTCAAACTCTGCTGAAGAAAGTATAGGCACTGTGATTCACATAGTTAAATGTTCATTTAGTAGAGCTGGGGTGAAAAAATACTGTTTTAACTTGAAATGCTAGAAGATTGTTGTTCTTGTGTTACTCATTCATGCAAATTGGAGAAGGTATAATTGAAACAAGGTTGGCTGTGTTTGAGTCAGTGTGCTGCAGCTGAGCTCAGCTTAAAGGTCGCTGGAAATCAAGTGCTTTGTAAGTGAAGGCATTTTGACTACAAGCGATTCAAGACATTTTAGAAACGTCAGTCTCAGGAATAGGTCGTCTTTTTCTTTCTATGATATCTGGTATCTAGTGTTTTACTTAGGATAAAGACTCTTACTTAATAGCTCTTTTAGGCACCACAAATGATTTTTTCTTTCGATGCAGTGCAGCTGCTTCTAGCCTGTCTACGGACAGAGATCTTTGTTTTGACTTTCAGCCCTTAACATGTTTGGAAATGAGAACAAATGGCACAAAGCTTACGATTGCACTTTGCAGCCAGAAGAAGCAATACTTACCCTTTGTCAGAAACCTCCGGAGATGATTTGGATAGCCATGTTCACATGTGCTTCAAAAAACCAACACGGATTTCAACTTCTAATGTTGTTCAAATGAAGCTGACGCCCAGACAGACTGCACTATCGCCGTTAATAAAGGAAAACGTGAAGCCTCAGGAAAGAGCATCTGTTCCTTCATCTGAAAATGTTAATAAAAAGAGCAGCTGTCTTCAGATTTCACTACAGCCAATAAGGTACGGTGGATGTCTTCAGCCTAGCAATGTCTTAGCTGATGGTGACGATGCTTCACTTACTTATGTCTTGAAGGATGGCATTTATAGCAGTGCTGTGGTTGATAATGAACTGAATGCTGTGAACGATGGTAACCTTTTATGCAGTTCTGCCATTTGTAGCGATAGCCTCAGTAACTTTTCAACCAGTGATAATGGATCTTACAGCAGCAACGGTAGTGATTATGGGTCCTGTGCAAGTATCACAAGTGGAGGTTCATACACCAACAGTATCATCAGTGACAGTAGTGGTTATACTTTTCCATCGAGTGATGATACTTTTTTTGGTGGAAATTTACCTTCTGACTGCACCTCCAACAGAAGTGTGCCAAACAGGAATGCAACTCCCTGTGAAATTTTTTCAAGAAGTCCAAGTACAGTTCCCTTTGTCCAGGATGACTTGGAGCATGGAATAGAGATTATGAAATTGCCAGTGAACAGGAATGCAAAAATTCCACTGAAACGTTGCTCATCCTTAGTCATTTTTCCTAGGAGTCCTTCAAATACCCCACCAACTTCTCCAACAAGTGCAGGTATTCTTCTAAGCAAAGGACCTTATCAAACCTCACATCAGTTTATTGTTTCTCCTAATGAAATTTCACATAATGAAGATGGTACTAGTGGTAAAGGATTCCTTTCCACAGCTGTCAATGGACTTCGATTATCTAAAACAGTTTGTACTCCTGGAGAAGTAAGAGACATAYGGCCACTTCACAGAAAGGGCTCGCCACAAAAGAAAATTGTTATTTCGAATAATAGTCCAAAACAGACTATCTGTGAAAAGTCATCTGAAGGGTACTCTTGTGTTTCAGTGCATTTCACTCAACAAAAAGCAACCACATTAGATTGTGAAACCGCAAATGGCGATTGTAAACCAGAGATGTCAGAAATTAAACTTAATTCTGATCCAGAGTGTACCAAGTTCATGCCCAGGATGGCTGCCTGTTTACCAGCCACCCAAAACATGGATTATCAAATAAATATTGATGGAGAGTTGGAAAGACCAAATTCACAGATAAACAAAAACCATGCTGTTTTACAAAGAAGTGTTTCACTGGGAGGAACTTATCCAAATATTTCCTGTTTATCCAGCCTTAAGCACAATTGTTCCAAGGGGGGACCATCTCAGTTACTCATAAAGTTTGCATCTGGAAATGAAGGTAAAGGTAACAGTTTATCAAGATACAGCACCAGAGATTTCACAAATGAACTATCTAATTCTTGTAAGGTAAGTTTCCTTTGGTCTTTATGAATTTTGATTTATGTTAGAATAGCTTACTGTAATATTCAGTTAAAATTTATTATCACTTAGCAGTTGTATACTTTCCTGGTCTTAGCTACCAAGTATTTTGTAATCACAAACTTTATATTTGTGAATCTGAAGAACTCCCAACAGTTTTTCACTCTTTTTGTTATTTCCCCAACAGACAAACTGTGTATTTAAAAGAAGAAGAAGAAAAAAAAACTTTCCTAAGTCATTTTAAGCCATAAACTAGTTCTAAAGCATAAAACCAAGCTTCAAAAAACAATATCTCATAACACTTTATCTCGATATATTTTTCTTTCAAGTTGCACAGTATTTTAATGTAACTTCATATGTGATTCCTGATTAGTTTTCATCCCTCCTTAATCATTGTAAACTAAAATACAGAATGCATATTTTAAATATTAAAAATCTTGTGAAAATCCTGTTACAGATGAGCATAGAAGAAATATGTCTCTAAAATGCATGTATTTATAAGATCATTGATTAAAAACTATTATATTACATGTTTAAAGCAGAGGAAAAATAAGTGGCATTTGCATTTGTATATACCCCAACCACAGGAATTTTGTTTCCACCCTATTTTTCTTTAGCTACCAGTTAATACTGCCTTCTAAAATGCAACTCACTCAACTATATTGATTTCTAAGTTTTTATATGTTTGAATTTGCTTTAAATTACTATGTATTTCTCATAACTTTCTATTTACTATATTGTTGTTTTGTCAGTTTTGCTCTATTATATTAATAATTTAGCTATAAGGAATCTCAGCCAAAAAAGCTCTTTATGTAATTTGGCCTTTCAAGAGTATTTGAAGTGTTTTGAACTGAAATAGTTTTTTAAAATTTCTGTTTTGGGAAGAGCTCACTAGATTCCAGGAAATTTAAAAAAATTTCTGACTAAACCATTTCTAGATGACAGCACATAATTGGGGTAGGGGAGTACATTTTGTGTGTTTATCTGTATTTATATAACACCCAACATCTGTGTTAAAGGTTGAAAAAAATAACTTTAGGTAAGTGAAACATGAAGTAAGTGCTAGTTTGTTTTCTTTCTTCTGAAATCTGGTAAATATAATCTGAGCAACTACTTTAATGAGGATGAAAAAAGGGCAGATTTCAAATTCTGTGTTTTATAAGAATTATTAATTCCATTTWAAAAACTTTTCTAAAACTAGTTTTTTAGGAGATTATAATCCACTCAACCATGCCCCCCCAAAAAAGGAGGAAGAAATGAAAAATGAAGTGACACTATGAAAAACATTAATAATTTGCTAATTAATGCTACTTGTAAATTTATTTTATATTTAATGATATAATGTGAAAGGAATAATTAACCTATAAATATTTATAGAAAGATCCTTAAAATACTTCATTTTGTGGCAGTATTATAATTTATTGTTGATGCTTTTTTAAAAGGGCATTTTAAATGTATTTTAATGAAATGTAAATTAAATGCTTTTTGCATTGCTAAAAATACACATTTTTATTGGTCTTATTTAAATGTAGGTAGGCTAACAAATATTTTTGCATGTCTGCAACCAAATGCCTAGCTTTATGCCAATTCTATTTTTGATAAATTATTGGATTATAGAGTTCAGAAGTGTGCAATTTGTTGAAGAACTTTAAATTGTTGCTCTTTTCATTGTGTAGTAAACAACTTGTCTTTAGAAAAGTGTTGTAAAATGACAGCTAAATTCAATAGGTACTGATCTAAGTTGGTCTGATTGATAAGTAGTGAATCACAAGGGCTTGTTTTATGAGAAAGACACTAATGTTGCTTTTTTTAAACACAGCAGTGGCAACAATAATGGGATTTTAGAAATAATCCTGTGTTTATCAATAATTATATATTAATCTAATTATAGTGGTATATTGTAACTCACTTATAAATAAACAGCTCCCAAAATATTTCCCATGTCTCCAGTTAGTCTGGGTTAGTATTCTGATATGCTGAGTCTGGATTCACATTTAACAAGTTGATATTAGAGTAGCATTTAGTAATGTCAGCTATCTGTTCCGAGCAGCCGTGAAATTAAATCACTGCTTTGGTCAGAGACCCTGGTTTCTAAAGCATTAGAAGTCTACAGATTCTTTTCTTATGTGTTTAGCTACCAGCCTCTAGCAGCAGAGTATCTAGTTTCTTACTTTCTGTAATCAACAGCTCATTAATGACTAATTTTTAAAAACTAGTAAGAACTTTTACCTGTATCTGGGACATATGCTCTATTCTGGGTTTACAATTAGAATAAAGATGGAACTTCATAGTCTGCACACTATTTATTTTAGCCCTAGCAAAGAAAATAACAGTAATGGGCAAAGTTTATTATTTATGCCTTTTGAAATACAATATCACTTTTTTAAAGGCTGTATAATGATTTTTGATCTGCAAATAGAAATTCAATATTTTAATGTTATGTGTAATATTTTGTCAGCTTGACCAAGGAATAGGTTAAGGAGCTAAGGTACTTATACAGTTACAAAAAAATATTACTATTTATTTTTTTCCTTGTCCTTTTTCTGAACTACTGTTATGCTGTTGGGATGCTCAGAGATTTCATTACCCTTTTATTCAATATACCTTAGAATTTTGCCTATGCTTGTGCATGTTTTACATTCTCCACTTACATGCATGTTTTTAATAGAAATATTTTTATATTTTTTATGTTTTTTATGAAAGTTTTAATTATCTGTTACTTAATCCTGGATGGCTAAATTGTTTAAGCCTAATAGAGTAGAACTTTAAAACATTTCAAAGTCTTTGTCACTGATCTCAAGATCAAATCATACATTTCAATAATTTCTTTAGTTGTTCTTCCTAAAACAAATTTTAAATATATACTTATTTTACTGAGCCATATTCTCCCAGTCTTTGTTTTATTAAATTTAGCAGAATATTTAGAGATACTTGGCTAAGTTTATCTTGAAAAACATTTAAATCTTTTCTATAAAAATCAATGTGATTTATAAATATTACCTCTAGAACTGTAGTACCACAATGTTAATGACCAGTTTTTTTAATTTGGTAAAAAAAAAAATCTATATTTCTTAGAACTGAGGAGTTACAATATTTATTTCAGACAGGTTCAGGGGGTTGAATTGTTAGCTTGGAAATATTTTGTATTCTCTGTGTCTTCTTTAATTCACGTATCTAGAACACACTTGAATGCCAAGGTGAGGATAAAAGATGAATAAAATACAGTCTTGCTTTTGGGGGAACTCTCATTCTAATAATAGGGACATGGAGGTAAACAAAAACATGTTTCAGTCCGATGTGTGTTGTGCTGAAATAGAAGTGTGTGTGAGAAAGGAAAGTGTGACATTATTCTTGTGGAAGAAAGGACCTATTTGGTAGAGGAACACTTCACAGAGGAGGTGACATTTGAGCTCAGTTCTTGATAAGTGAATTGGAGTTCACCAGGCAGAGAAATTAAGGATTCTAAGAAGGGTAGGGATTCTTAGTCTCAACACTATTTTTTTAATATTTATTTTTCACTTTTAGGTGGACACAATTTCTTTATTTTATTTTTGTGTGGTGCTGAGGATCGAACCCAGTGCTTATGCATGCTAACTAAGCACTCCACCACTGAGCCACAACCCAGCCCTCAGCACTATTTTTATTCTGGGCTGAAGGGTGCTTTGTTGTGGGGCTGTCCAGTGCACTGTAGGATGTTTAGCAGCGTCTCTGACCTCCACTCACGATGCTAGTAACACCCTCTCTGGAGTAACAACCAAAAAATGTCTCCAGACTGCCAGATGTCCCCTGGGAGGCAAAATCACCCCCTACTGAGAATCAGTACTTGGGCAGAAGCAGCAGCACATGCAGGGCAAGAGGGTTGAAAGAACCTCATACTGTAAGTACTTGGGTTACTCCAGCACAGGGTGGATGCAGAAGGAGATGGTGCCCAGTAGGCCTAGTGGCTTTTGCTAAAGAGAAAGCTGCACATTTCCTGCTGACAGTAGTAGTTAGGCAGTGGACATCTTTATTTGAAAGTATAGAGTGCTCGTTTTTGTGCTTTTAGAAGATAATTTTTTTGTGACACCATGGATTATAAATGAATCAAAGTTTTCTTAGCTGGGATGACTGGGCAAATGGTGATGTCATGAACTAACATCAGGAACTCAGAAGGAGTCAGAGTGAGACAGCAAAGAAGAAATTGCATATTGCTGAGAGGCTGCCCTGGTAGTGTGGCTGCAAAGGAGGGCATCTGGGGTTGTAGGAGCAGAGCTCAGAAGAAAAGCCAGAGCTGGAAATCTAGACTGGGAGTTAGCAGTGTAGTCAAAGCCATGTGCAAAGATGACCCCAGTGAGGAAAAGCATAAAGTGAGATTAGAAGGAAGGATAAATCCAAATTCTGGGGACCACTAACTTTGGTGAGATGGTAAAAAAGAGAGAAGGAGGAGACTAAAGAGAGTCACTAGTCAGTCCAGGAGAGCATGGTGACTTGGAGGGACAGAGGACATCATGCAATGTGGAGAGCTATATATCCATTAGATGTAGTAGTCAGGAGGACCTTGGTACCCACTTGGTACTACTGCATCCCTGGGTACCCACCCTGTGTGGGAGTAACCCAACTACTATTTAAAAAGAGTAGGCTAGGAAAAGACTTGGGTTGCAAGCCAGGCTGAAGAAAGAATAAAATAGGTAAGGAGCCATGAGCATGGTTGCTTGCTAAACATGAGTGTGAAATTGTGTAACAAGGTATAGGCTTAACAATAGCTACCTCGAAAACACAGTATTGGTGGGCATGAGATACAAAAGACAAACTCTCTCTCTACAAAAAGAGTGCAATCCCTTTTCCAGGAGGAGAAAGAATAGGTTGTGGCTCTCTGTTCTTTCACTTTAAGACTATAGAGTAAGTGAATATAGATAGTGAAAATTGAAATAGGGATCCAGCAATATCAAAAGAAAGAAACAGAAAATTAGAACTGGTAACTTGAGACTGCCTAGGAATATTCACAACTC